GGAGTTGGAGGGGGATGACTCAGGAATAATCATCCTTCTCCATGTCACTTTGTCGCATCAGCTTAGGAACCCATGCACGTATACTGTCCATTAAATCTCTGCTCCCCAAGGCGGAACACTAGGTGAGGACACGGCTTACTTCTATTCTTCAGATGTAAGAACTGAGAGTCAGCTGGTTTGGTCAACAAAAATGACTCCCTCTGTGCACAGGGGTCCCTTGGAGCTACCTGCCTATTCCTTGAGTCACCTCCATGCTGGAAAGCAAGGAAACACCTATTCTGCAGCAGAACCTGGGTTCCTCCCTACTTCAGAGTCTGTCTTCAGAACCTCACTTTAGAAATCATCTGGCCACCCCTCCTGCAAGGAAAGGGGCCACTAAGTAGCAGAGCTGGGACTAGAACCTGCCTCTCCTGGAGGCCTGCCCTGTGCTCTTGGTGCTGAGCAGCCTGGTCCACATGCCCTGGTTCTCCTCCTGCTTCCAGAACAGCCCCTGGAAACAACAGTCTTCGGTGACATCGAGGGGCTGGCAGTGTTGGCTGTGAAGGCGATAAAGTGTAGTCTGTGCTGAGCACACCCAGTGCAGGGGAGGACAGGAGCTGCTGCTGTGACCCTCTCTGTTGCCTGAGAAGTGGGCTGTGATGCCCCTCCCCCAGCTTGCCTGCCATGCAGGCAGGTCCTCTGGGGCAAAGATGGGGGTGGGGCCCTGTGGCCCAGCCCCTCTCAGGCCACGCACCCCCTCTTTGTGCAGGAGCAACAGCAGCCACCTGTTGTTAATCTAGCCCTGGTAATCCATGCTGTACTGTGTCAGCAGTTCAAAAGGGCACTGTTAGTATTTTTTGCCGACTTCAATTAACGTGAGATTTCAGAGGCCCCTCTGATCACATTTCATCTGTCACAAGTCAGGAACAAAACAGACAGATTCCAGTTGAGAGGAGGAAGGAGAAGGAGTTTATTGCAAACAACAACAACCAAACAGACAGTTTAGGCTGTGCCCAGCAAAGGCTGTTCCACCAGGCCCCTAGGCTCCTTCTCGTCACCGTCCCTCCCCTCTCGCAGAAGATGTAAGTGCAATAACTTACTTTAAAAGGCAAGAACGTTTCTTTTAATATTTTGCTATAATGTAGTTACATGGTGGTATAAGGCAGTAAAACTTTATGGAACCGACCTCATTTTTTTTTACATTTTTCTGATTTTTTAATGTATTTTTAATATATATTTTTAATATTCCACCCCAGGCCATTAAGCTAAAGGAAAAGTTGCATTTATACAGGGTTAAAATATCTTACAGTGAGAACAGTAAGTATCGGATGAGGTCCCTGTTCCTTCTAGCACTCAGCTCTGTTTCTTTAACCACTGCACACCCAAACAGGTTATTAGACATTGAAAACTGTCCTTCAAAATCAGTAGTATAAAGGCCTAGCTCTATGTTTGTAAGTGAAGGGGGAAGGAAGGAGAGGGCAAGGTTAGGTCATGTTTTGCTCAATGCCATCGATATTGTCCAGTGGAAATGCCTTTCCTCTCTACAGCATCCTCGCAGAAGTGAAGCGGGCTGATGTGACTTTAAGAAGTAGGGTTTTGTCATTTTTGAATTGTGTGGTCATGGATGATTATCCTGGGGGCCAGTTTGCCAACCATCCTCCCCCAGCTAGGCCCATGTGCCTTTGCCTGACAGTCAGGGCCATTAAACAGACCAGGAGCCCCAGAGGGTCTTTCAAGTCCTCAGAGATGGTCTCCCCACAGTGTAGCCCAGACAGTGAATGACTGTGTGGCCAGGGTCCATAGTAGTTTTCATGGAAATGTCCTTTCTGTCTACCCAGCCAAAATGACAGGAGATGGGGCACGGTGCTGGGTCCAGTGTGGTCACAGCTATGTGTGCTGTGGACCCACCTCTCTCCTGCTGCCCCTGCCCCCTCGGTGACTTTGAGCTGACATGCCACAACGCTTCCCACAGCTGGAGCATGGTAGTGAGAGCTGAGAATCAAGTATAGTTAAAAGGATTCAAGGAAAGTTATAAAAGCCCATGTCCTCCAAGTGCCATTTCAGACTTGGAGACAAGCCTCTCTGTGTGCCCCCCGGGGCCCTCTGGTCCCTGCCCAGGGGGCAGTGGTGGCACCTGGAGGTGGTAGCAGCACCTCATTGTTAACCCTTGGCATGCTGAGGCTTGTTCTAGTGGGGACCGAGGGCTCTCAGTGTCAAGAAGCTGCCCGTCACCTCATTTTAGTATCATTTCATTGCTGCCTCTGTCGAGCGAGATCTTAGGCAGCTAGCCAAAGGAAATCCTCAACTCTGTTAGCTTATTCACTTAGCAGAGAACCACACCACAGGTGGACTGTTCTCTCACCTGCCCGCACAAGACCCAGCTCCTGAGGAAGCCAGACAGCCACGGAGAGGTGCCCACTTGCTTAGTCACCTGGGAGCCGCTGCAGCAGTGCCTCCCGCCCCACAACACAGAAGGCCTGGGCCTAGCCACCCACTGGGAAGGAACCAGTGCGCCCAGGCTCTCCTGGAGAACTGAGCTGCACAGCAGGTGCACGTGAGGCAGCCCCAGGTGCCCGCTGAGGCGGTGGCTGTCAGACCCCAGGCTCGTGCCCACTTGCAGCTTTGCCTCAGGGCAGACACTTCTCCACTCGGGCCTGGGTCTTCTCTGTTGCGAAGGGACTGGACTAACAAAGGGTTTCTAAGCTGCCTCCCAACTTGGTGGTTGTGTGATCCTTAGAGTGGTCAGGCCAGCCCTAGAGGGCTGGGAGGGATGAGGCACAGAGGACAGACCTGGGGGTAGGTAGCTCCCTGTGCACAGGTGAACAGTGGCGTTCTGCGCCAGCATGCTTTGTCACAGACTTCGTGGCTGTGTTGGTGGGACAGGTGGCCATCGACACAGAGCCTTCTTCCAATGGAGGCTTTTTCTTCTCAAGCTCTTGGGTTGAAATTTGCCTGACTCGGGTCTAGCCCAGGCAGAAAGCAGACCCATAGAGGAACTGAGCACCAGGAGTCCCTTCGAGAAGAATCCCCTTGAAGTCCTCTGTCTCCTTTCCCTCCTCTTCTGGAGCTATCCTGGTTCTCCTCTTTGTACTGCTTCTGTCATGGGTGAGAAAATACCTGCGGTGAAGTTTCCTGCCCTGTCCTCCCCCGCCCCCTGGAGCCCTTAAGAAGGAAATGGGATAACTGTTCCCAGCCTTAAGCTCTTCTTTTCCCTTGCTAGGTTTTGGGGAGTCTGAGTTATTTCAGTGAACTGGAAAAGTCTTCCTGAGAGTCACTCCAAGATCCTCAAATATTTGAAACACTTACAGCCAAGCCTTCAAGAACATTTAATTCAATGTCCAAGACCCTTTTCACCTCTATAAGATCAGTTTTGGAGCTATGGTTCACAGAGGCCTGACGCTTACTAAGGGAGGCCAAAGCCAGATCCTTCCCCAGTCTTGTCTCCAGAGCGGATGAGAACACAGGGCAGGGGGAGACTGCGGCAGGGGCTCCCGGGCAGGGGCTGTCACTCCTCAATGCCACGGCTTCCCTCAGTCCAACCCAAGAGGCTGTTCTGTGCCCAGGACCCTGAGCCTAGTGGGCCTGGCCCTCCCCACTGACAGGAATCCAGGAAGAAGGTAGAAAGGCAAGTGCTTCTCCCAGGGGACACTGGCTGCAGGGCCTCCCAGGGGTCTGTCAGGCCTGCTCAGGGGCAGTGGCTGTGTACTAGCAGCTTAGATGAGGCTGAGCCTGGTGTCACGCCACACTGCAGGTGGCAAGGCAGGCAGGCAGGAGCCCCCTTCCCACGGGTGGGAAACCTGGCTTTAGGAGGGCGTCCTGCCACCCACACCTGCAGCTGAGCAGCCGAGCTGGAGGAGCCCAGCCCCATGAGCCCTTCCAGAGGCTGGAGAGAGGGGCTGAGTGTTCTGATCCCTAGGGAAGAAGTGTCAGGGCAGGCTCGCTGAGACAGTGTGGATGGTTCCAAGGAGGAGGAAGGCACTCCCCCAGCTTGCTGTGGAAGGCTCTGGGCAGCCACGATGTTGCACCGGACAGTAGACGAGGGCAGTCCACCTGGGGCCATGGAAGGGCCATCCTGCCTGAAGGCTGAGCATGGTCATGCGTCCTTGAGCAAAGCTGCACATGCTCCTGACCTTGGCTGCTGTGGCCCCAAGCCCTCGCTTGTGTGTTCCCAGGTGTAAGTCCTTCCACCGCAGGACCCTGCTGAGCAACCGACTGGACAGGGCAGGGTGGGGAAGGCAGAGGTACCTCCAGATCCTTCGGGGCTCCAGCACTGACTGGGTGGAGAACAAAGCTGCCCAGACCTCCCCTCTATAGTGGATGGCAGGCGGGCAGGAGAGTGCCTGAGTCCCTGCCCCATCCGACTGTCTCTCTGTGGCCTTTCCTCTCTCCTGGGAGCTCTCCTTCCAGCACTGTGTTCTCAGCTTCCCTCAGGCATGGCCCCTCCTGTGCAGTGTCCACCCAGGACCAGAACCTCTGGGGTATGAGGAGGGGCTCAGGTCTCCCCTGGGGACTGGCCATCCCTCCAGGTGCCAGCATTGCTGGGTGGCAACAGGACTCTTCAGTCCTAACTCCTGTCCTCCTCTGCCCACTCCCTCCAGGTGTCTCCAGCACAGGAGATGGCCAGGATGCAATCAGAAGGCCCGTCACACTGTGACCACTCAGAGTACAGGTGAGGCTGGGGCCTTGGATCCAGGAGGTCAGATTCCAGGTGCTTTCAGGAAGAGAACAGGAGACGGAAGGGCAGGAGCCAACTCAGCAGGGCAGTCTGTTCTTCATACACACAGTCACTGGCCTGGTGACCAGGGAGCTGCACAGACAAGGGAAGGATGGACAAGACTGGACTGTTGATGCTGCTGAATCTGGATGGGAATTTGTCTTTGACTCAAGGTCACATTGGGCAGGGTAGAGGGGCAGAAGGAGGGGGAAAGGGCCTTCAGCTTGTAATGGATGCAAAGCTGCAAAACTTGGCCACGTGGCATCTCTACTGCCTCTGGCCAGGAGCAGGGGCTATGGCCTCAGTACCAGGGAGGGATCGGGGCCTGCTGCCCCCTCCTTCCCAGCAGTCCATGGGCCTTGGACATCGGGCGGCTGAAAGTGCTGAGGGTCAGGCTCCTGGCCCAGGCCAGGTTCCTAAGAGGAAAGTCGAGTGGGAGGCTGGGGACCTGGAAAGCATGGGCGTGGCCAGGGCCCCGAGGTGGGGGAGGGCACAGGGTCGGGACGGGAGGTGCCCTGTCATGTGGCCCAGGAGATGGCCGCACTGTGCTCCTTGGCCTTCATGCGGAGGGCCGCGATGCTCGAGGTCTTGCGGTCGGGCTCGCCATTGAGCTCGTAACCATTGAGGCCTGGGCTTAGGCCGGCTGCTCCAAACAGGCTGCCCATGTGTGTCTGGCCCACATGACTGCCAGCCCCAGAGACACTCAGGAAGTCGGTGACACCGCTGGCCCCCGAGCCAGGGGGGTGGGCGTGAGGGGACATGCAGGCAGGCACCGGGTCACAGGGGACCACACAGGCTGGCACTGGCGAGGCAGCTCCATTGTTGCCAATCCAGGATGGGTTCTGAATCTGCAGAGAGAGAAGGGGGAGAGGTCACAGGCTGGCTGGGGAGGAGGGTAGTTGGAAGGGGCTTTCCCATCCCCCCAGATGACCTCTCCCCACTGCCAAGTCCATCATTGTAATGAACCATTCTCTAGTGTTTAGCCTTGGTGGATGCCCTGATACCCCTGGGGGTGATTGTTTTGGCACCTCTGTTCCTAGGGCCAGGCTAGCTGCAGAATGAAGCCCAGTGGTAAGGCCTAAACTCCAAACTTCATCAAGGGTCCTGTAAAAGGACTACCCTGGGGCACAGCTGCCCTCAGCCGAGCTGGCTTCCTGATTTTAAACACAGTTGTAGACTGTCTCTCCATCTGTGGACAGCGACTGTCTTGTTCACCTCTGACTCTTCCATGGGCCTGGAACATCTGTAGGTACTTGATCAAGGTGAGCTGACCTCAACTCAGAGAGTTTTGGCATTGTGGACACAGGTTATGGGCTGGCAAGTTGTGGTCGTGGAGGGGCAGGGGTAGGAAATAGGGGCCTAAATCCTTCCAGAAGCCAGGGTCAGTGGCTGAGGTTCCAGGGACTGAACTCTTGACGGAAGGGGCCATGTCAGGAGTGACAGAGAGCCGAGGCTGGATGCCCATATACCAAGACGGTGGACAGGGTGCTCAGGCCCTGGGCGGGGGTTGAGCTGGACATCTTATTTTCCACTGGTGCACGAGTAATTCCCTCCCCAGCTTCCACCTCTGGGCGCCCATCTTCCTCTGCCCTAAGCATTTTTGAGGAGGTAGACCTGGGGTGTGGGGAAACAGCTTCGAGGAGGAGACCCGTGCACCTCTCAGCTATGTGCATGGGATTCTCATGGCCCACCTCGCTCGAGTGTTTGGAGTGCACTCAGGGAAGGTACTTAAAAGCAGAGTGGGGAGGGAACTCAGCCCCCAGACCCCAAGGAGCTCTAATGGCAACCAGAACTGCTTGCAGATTGGCCACGCCACAATCCTCCCACTGGCTCAGGTGATGAGCACTGGCTGGCTCTCACTGCCACTCTTGGAAGAGATCTGGGGTGTGGGCTATGTGGAGCTTCAGGTGAGAGGCATAGCAGGGTCCTGTGTTGGTTTTCTCCCCACAGCTGTGAGTTCAGGCAGCAGAGAGCAAGGCCAAGGAGCCAGGGCTGGAGTTTCATCCTTGGGGGACAGAGGGAGGCTGGGTTTGGGGAGGGGGAGAAGGGAGAAAGTGAAAGAATGTGGTGGGAGCTGATGCAGATGGTATGTGTAGGAGACACCCCACATTCCTCGGCCTCACCTCCAGGCCTGGCCCCTGCCCCCTGCCCCACGAATCCTGGGGTGGGGGTTAGGGGGGACAGGTCTAGTCCGAGTGGGGAGCCCAGAGACCATCTGCTAGCATGGCACTGGGACAGGGAGGAGTAAAGGAAGCTGAGGAATGCCTGTGCCACCTGGAATGGGACTGAAGGGCAACCTGGAGCCGTGAGTGTCATCTCAGGGGACCGAGGCTCTCCTCCGAGGGGCCCATTCTCAGAGTGTGAGGGCTGGGGATGGTGGAGGGGCAGCCTGGGGCAGGACTCACCTGGGCATAGTTCTCAGCTCGGGTGAGCAGGGGCAGCTCATAGGCAGTGGAGAAGTGGGTTCGAACCTGCTGCATCTGCCCAAAACGCTCCCTCTTCCTCCACTTGGCCCTCCGGTTCTGGAACCAAACCTACAGGACAAAACAGTCGTCACCAGGTTCAGACCCAACCTGGAGACCTTGCCTTCAGGCAGTGCAGACTGTTCCCTTGGGTCCCCACCAGCTGCAGTGCATGTGTCAGGGCCATGGGACCACAGACAAGGGTCAGCTTCAGTCTATATCCTCAAGGGCTTACAATCTAGAATCATTGACACTGAGCTGGGAAGGTATCTTATCCCCAACTAGCCATGGGCATGATCTTGGGCCAGTAACTTCATTTTTGAAAGCTTCAATATCTATAGCAAGTGTCACACACACGAAGCAAGTCACTGCTCATCTCTTAGCAGTCATCTAATCGACCCCAATATTGGAGCAGCCTAATTCTCTGTGGGTCACAGACAACAATGGAGAATCTGCTAAAAGCTATGAACGCTCTTCCAGAAAATCGTTCTTCTAGACAATCACATCCAGTTTTGCCAGTTTTCCAAAAGACTCATGGCTCTCTAGGGCCTACGTATCAGTACAGAGTCAGGATTCCTACCACCCTGCATCTTCTCTGCAGCCTTTCTGTTGGAAGCAAAGTCTCCCAGCTCATAATTCCCACATGTTAAAATGAGTGAGGCCTTGAGGGATAATGGGGGCTCCGCTGGACAACAGAGGTAGTCAGGAAAGGCTTCCTGGAAGAGAGGGCTGGAGCTGGGCCTTAAATAATTGGCTGGAAGGAGGAAAGCCCAGGCCTGAGTTTAGAAACAGCAAAGCATGTTCAGGAGACCCGAGGAGGCCAGTTTGAGGGACGTGATGGGAGAGAAAGAGTATGGAAGCTGAGTCAGATTGTGAAAGCCTTGAATGCCAAGTGGAGGGGTTTGCCCTCGGTGCCATCAACAGAGGTGGCCACTGCAAAATCTTGTGCAGAAGAGTGGCCTGATGCCGAGAAGGAGTGGAGGCCCACCTGTCTCTGAGCATGGGGGATGGGACCTGACAGAGAGGAGAAGTCTCTGAGTTAGGTGTATGTGCCAGAATCTTTGGTGGTAGGAGTGTTGGGTCCTCTTCATTTGCAGGAACATTCCTGGAAGGCTGAGAACTTTCCCAGAGCTCATGGGCAAGAGCTCACCTTGGGGCCTGCTACCCCTGGCCCCTTGACTTGGGATCTCAGGAGGAGGTGCTGGGGGCAGGGGTAGCTGGGCAAGGGAGAGTGGGGAGGGAGGAATCAGCTTCTAGACTGCGAATGACTTCTGGCTGAATCAAAGGCAGACCTTGATGCTCCCCAGAGGGAGATTTCTGCCAGCTTAATGTGCACCTGCCAGCTGACTTTGCAGACACAGATGCAGATGGGCACACCCCAGCAGCACCCAGCAGCAGCCCTGCAGATGGGGAGCACAGGGCTGAGACAAGAACCTTGGCTGCAGAGCTGCAAGAGGCTCAGTCAGGCTCTTCCAGGCCTGGACACTGAAAAAGCCGACTTCCGTCAGGTGCAGTCCCCACTCTCTGGGTGGAAACGCTTCTCTGTCCATCACGATCAGCATGGCTGCCTAGCTAGATGTGGGAGCCTCTGAGCTTCCTCAGGAACCACTTCAGGAGGCGTGGACAGGCCTCCCCACAGAGGAGGGGAGGGGAGGGATGGTGGGAGGTAGGGATGGTAGGGATGGTGGGCTTCTAGGGTAGGGATGGTGGGAGCACTGGCATTGCCAATGGCCTCAGTTTCTACATCTGTCAAGCGGAGCCAATATCTGTACTGACATCTTCATAGGAAGGGCGCCTCACAGGAGCAGCAGGGGACATAGATGGGAAATGCAGTCACATAGTTTTTAGAGAGCTTCACATTTGTTTATTTATAGCTCCTGACCTTTTTTGAGGTCTGCTAGAGGAAGGAGGTCAGAAAGATGGGAGATGCACATCTCATGTTAGTGTGGGGAGGGGGTGGGGGCCTCACGTTAGTACATTTTTCCCTCCTGCTGTAACTCACTTCCTATCCCAGTACATGAGCATGAGTGGACCAGTGTGCGCACACACGCACACATACACACACACACACACACACACACACAATGTGCCTGCCGACACTTCTCTCGGGGTCCCTCCATTCCCCCTCAACTGTGGAGCAGGAGAAACACTCCTCCTGTGTCCTCTCTGGCTCTCTCCAGGCTTGGGGTCTTGGCCCCTGCCCCGGAGCCTCCTGGGGCCCCTTTTCCTCAGGGGCTCCTAGGGCCTGGGCCCAGGCCGCCCACTGGGAGCCAAGGGCAGATGGGGTCTCCTCTCTGCATGGCTGAAACGGGATCCCGCTTTATCAGTGGCCTGGAATGGGAGGCTGGGGGCAGGATGAGCGAATGAATCAGAGGAGCTTGTTTTCATTTCATGTTTAATTTCCTGCAGGCTTAGCTCCGTCTTTCCGCTCCTTCCTCAGCCTCCCAGGGTTTTCTGTGGGGGGAGCCAGGGGGAGGGGAGAAGCCCACGAGAGGCATCAGGATATATGGCTTTGCTCTTTCTTTATGTTGCTGCCACAGCTGGGGGTTCCCTTGTGTCTCTGTGGGCTCCAGGTCCCCATCATGGGATTGTGGGAGCTGTCACTGCCGACTCTGGAACAGAGGCTCTGGGCTGGTCTGGGAGAGATCTGGAGGGGAGAAGGAGGTGGCCAGTGTCCAGCACGGGGGTCTAGTAGGGAGGGGAGGAGTGGTGTGGGGAGATGGAATGTGGGCAGGGGGCTGGCTGGAGCTGAGCGTGCAGGGGGAGGAGGAGGGTCATCTGGGGAAGACAGATGGACAGGCGGGGGAGGGGCGAGCCCAGATAGTGCTGTCTTTGGGGAGGGAGTGGAAGAGGGTCGGGCCGAGGGATTTATTTGAGGCTGAAGATGGAAATGGTGAGAGGTGAAAGAGCGGGCGAGGGGAGCAGGGCTGCCCACCTCCTCCCTCTCAGCAAAGTCCTTTGTCCTGGAGCCTTACTCTGCACAAGGCCCTAGCTTCTGGCTTTGTCTTTTATGCCCCGAGCAAGACTTAAGCTAAGTTAGCCTGACTGATCTCCAGTATCCTCGCCCATTAATTGGGAGGTGGCAGGTGTATCCTCACATGCATGGGTCCTGAGACTTGGAACATCCTTCCACTACTGAGCCCGGAACCCATCAGGGCTCTTCAAGATCCACACCAGCCCCACAGCCCCGCCTCTGTGCCCCAGAACTCTTCAGTCGCAGGCCTGTCTCCATGGTGCAACCCCAGAGAGGACAGCTGACCGCAAGGTCCCAGCTGCTCTCCCATTCTGAGTGTCGCACCCCAGGACCACCCCGCTCCCAGGCCCACCCCTGCCTGGGCTCACTCAGCACGGGTCTCTCCCGAGGACCAGGCTATGCAAGGAACCAACTGTCTTGGCGGAGGCCTTGCTAACCACAGCCCATCTGGGGCCAGGGCGGGGTGGCCCAGGGTGGGGAGGCCTCTGTCTTATTGTCTTCAGACACCAGCTGTGGAGATTGGAATCCCAGACAGCAGAGAGAGGCCCCTGCAGCCCCCTGGAGCATGGCCAAACCCTAGGCTTCTTCCCGGGATAAGTCCATCTTGGGGTCCTCATCACCCCCTCCTCATCCCTACTGCCACTCTACGCCAGGCACCTAGCTTGCTGCCAGCTGTGTATAGGCCCAGAACAAACCAGCAGAGGCAAGCAGGGGGTTCCATCACAACCTCCCCAGCCCTCCCGCCCCCCAGGGCACTGCCAGGCCCAGGGCTCAACCAGAGGTCTGACGCACATGAAGATCCCACACACCCTGCTGCCTTTATATAAAGAAAAGCCTCTGAACAATCTGGCATGTATCCCGGCACAGCAAACTAAAGTCAAAGAAGCCCTGGCTGGAACTCAGGAGTCCTGGATTTCAGTCTTGGCACTGCTACTGAGTCATTGCTGTTAACTTCAGGCTATCAGTTCCCACCTCTGGGCCTCTTCTTTGTCTATCAAAGGAGAAGACTGGGTGATTCTTTCTGGCACTAACACACTGTAATTCTATGATCCTCCCATTAGATGCTAAGATAAGCAACACATCTGGGTTTCCCTTTCCGCCTTGGCTGCCAGGAAGCTCAGGTTTGAAGTTTGTACTCAATGGCAACTATGATCCTTAGCCTAGATTTTTTTACTGAATTACCTTCCCATTTTATGGGAAGTAAGTAATTTACCTTCCTATTATTTTTGTTCCTAGATTAAAATAAATTTTTCATTGTAAGCTACCTCAACTCTGTCTTGGAAGTAAACATAAGGATGTATGTATGTGTGTGCAGAGAACACTCGCTTTCAACCACCTGGTGGTGACTGAAAAATCCTATATGTGCCTCAGTGTCATTTCCATGTTTTATACTGAAACATCCTTCATCCTTCTGTCAACATTCAGTGAATTCTGCTCCAGGGCACTCCCATCCATTCGTTAGGAAGCACGTGTGCAACACACACATGTACACACACACACGCGTGAATAGAAAATGAACCAGTTTGTCCCATACTGCACAACACCTACAGGGATGTCCCTTAACCAACCAACCCCTTTCTCCACCTACTCCTGCAGCTCCTCCCATATCCACTGGCTGGAGCTGAGGCTGGATCCTGAAGTTCCCATCCAGACGCAGACATGTGAGGTCGCATGGCTGGTTATCCTGACTCAAATGAGACAGTGGGCATGAGAGGGCTCCTGGAATCACAGGAAAGCCCCAGTTGCTCAGCCTTCCTTCTTCAAACTTTCACTAGCAACTGGAGGGGAGTAAACCACCAGCCTGTCCTCAGGGAACTTACAGTTCAACCACAGGACTCTGCAGAATCACTCTGCACAGCTGCAGTTTCTGGACAGCAACGTATCTACTGACAACCATTAGTCCTTTTTCATGTTAGCTGTTTTGGATGAAAAAGTTTGGGGCCTACATTACAAATGCCTCTACCTTATTAAATGGAACATGGTTGAGACGATAAACTTTTCATCGATACCTTAGAAACACTCTGAAGGTTCTTTAGTGAATTAACACAATGGTGCTCTTGAGGCCTGCAGAGGAACTCAGAGATCTTCATCCTGACACTGAATGGCCCAGACTGCTGGGCTGCACTGTGCTGTGCTGATTTTTAAAAGAAATTCCTCTTCACCCTCAAGCTGTCGATTTCCCTGGCCCACTGGAGGGTGGGGAAACTGCTATATGACAACACTATATTTGCTGTTCCTAATATTCTTTGGGTTGGAAAAGCAGACAGCATATTTGTTTTGTGTTTAACTGAAGCTTGAACTTCAGTGTGTGAATTTTGTCACCTGTATTTTGGCTACTCAGAGGTCCTTGCTTTCTTCCTGGTTCTTTCTTGGCTATGATTTCATACAGGGAGAGGGGGACACACCTCTCCGGACAAAGGAGGTCAATTGGTCCACCAATATTTACTTGTTGCTCTGACTTTGGCCTTCTCTAATTGGTGGGAACAGAGTGCTGAACAACCAGACAGCATCTAACCTCAAGGAACTCACATTCTAGTGGGAGGAGACAAACAAGTAAAATAATTAAAGCCAGTCATAAATTCTGTAAAGAAGATAAAATAGAATAATGTGGTAGAAAGTGAACTGGTTTGGTTGCATTGTGTGGATACGAGTTATGTTGGGTTGGGTTGACTTGTGTTCTGTTTGGGTTGAGTTGTGTTGGGTTAGCTTGGGCTGCATTGGGTTGAGTTGTGTTGGGCTGAGTTGAGTTGAGTTGGGTTGAGTTCTATTGGGTTGGGCTGCATTGGGTTGAGTTGTGCTGAGTTAAGTTGAGCTCTATTGGGTTGGGTTGAGTTGAGTTGTGTGGAGTTGGGTTGAATTGTGTTGAGTTCCATTGTGTTGTGCTGGGATGGGTTTTTGGTGGTTGGGTGGTAGTAAGACTGCTTTAGCCATCATGGTCAGGAAGACTTCTCAGAGGAGCTATGTTGAGTTGCAACCTGAAAGGAGGAGGAGGCACCCATGCCAGGCAGAAAGAAGAGCTGGATTGTTCTTTGTTTCTGTCCACTGGGCTGCCTGTTTCCTGTCTAAGAGACAGGCCTTCCAGAGCAGAGAACAGTCATCCTCCTCCACGAAAGGGCAGACTCTCATACCGTGCGTAGCCCAGAAACAGCTAGCAGCCTTCCTGCCCATCCAATGGGGGTCCTCACTTTTTGGCCCCCTCCCACAGCACAGAGACCCAATATTAAAATGGATAAAAGCAGAGTCGCTCTGGTTGGAGCAGGGCCATGAGGGGCAGGCTGGGAGTCCCCATTCTCTCAGCCTCTCAGGCTCTCAGTGGACTAAGGTATGGAAAGCCCTATTGCAGTTGGCTGCAGCCAGGAGCCCGAGGGCAGACCTTGCTGTGCCACCCCCATGCCCAGGCAGCCCTCACTGACCTGCACGCGGGCCTCGGTGAGGTCTGTCCTCATGGCCAGCTGCTCCCGCGCGTACACGTCTGGGTAGTGGGTCTTCTGAAAGACCTTCTCCAGCTCCTCCAGCTGGTAGCTGGTGAAGGTGGTGCGGTTCCGCCGCTTCTTGCCCTTGTTGCTGTCTGAATCGGCCTTCTCCAGTGGGCTGGGGAGGTCGGCACTGGCCCGGTCCTGGGGCCCTTTCACCCCAGCCTCCTTTACACCAAGGTAGCTGCCGTCCATCCCCAAGGTGTCAGAGTCGGGTGGTAATTCTGGCTCACCAAGGGAGCTCTCTTTGGCTGAGGGGGAGGAAATAAGGTAAGAAAATAATGTCTGAGCCAGGCAAGAGAGGAGGGGGACTAGGGCTGCCATCCTTGCCTTGCCCCTCTTAGAGGCACATTGGATATGAGGTCAGCTGACTTGGGTTCTAATTCTGGCTTGCCATTCCCATGCTGCATGACCTGGGGCAAGTCTCTTCTCCTCTCTGAACTTCTTTGCTGTCATCTTAGAATGGGTCCCTTCCAGCACTAATGTTTTGTGTGGGTTGGCCAATCTGACTTCTATGACATTTAACCCCCACCTCACTGACCCTGACTTCTCTGGGACTTCTTTTCCAGGTTGCTGACCCTATGTCTTGGCCTCCCTGGGTGGAAGGGAAACTCATTCAGCAGCCACATCTGGCCCCACAGGGCTTGGAGGTGAGGAGGAGAAGGGCCTGGTCCCATTGGGGTTCAGCAGGAGCTGTGGGACTGTGCCCCAAGAATCCAGTGCTGAGGGGTCACATCCCTCTGACCCCCACTCACCCCCCAACACACTGTCCTCATCTATTGTCCAACAGAGGGGTCTTTCTTCCTTGGGGGTGGGCAGGATTGAGGCCTGGGCCACATTTCCTTTTCCAAGCAGTGTCCTGACCACTGTTCACTGCCACCGTCCAGGCACCCCTCCTCCTCAGCATGGGGACACCTGGGCCCCAGTAGATTCATGTGAGCACAGCCGGTAGCTGGGCCCATGGCCACTGCCATCTCACAAAATGGGGCTGCCCAGGCTGGTTCCTAGAGGCTCAGAGCTGGCAAAGACTAGTCCACCCATCAGGTCAAGGAGGAGGAGGTGGAGGCGGGGGCGGGGAAGGGCAGGGTGAGAGGAGCTTATCTGTGTCCAGATAGCCTGGTCAGTGTCCAATGCAGCCACGCTCACCTCATGGTAGAGGGCTTGGAGCGTGGGCTCTGCAGCCAGGCATGGCTGTGAATCCCACATCTATGACTCTCCAGCTCTGTGCTTTGGACAGTTTAACTTAACCTCTTTGTGCCTCAGTTTCCTCCTCTATAAAATTGAGATGATGATGCTTGTAGAATCCTCCTCACCATGTACTGGTGTGAAATAAAAAGGCTAACACATGAGGCACTCAGCACAGTGCTGCTGTGCAGGTTTTTGCTGTCAGTGTTTTCCCATTACGGGTCTGGACTTGCCCACAGGCTCTGGGAACATTAGAGGACGCTGCCGCTGGAGAAGTTCTCCAAGCACGAAGCCCTGGAGTACAGGAGCATGTGCAGGAGTGTGCACAGATGTTGCAGGTGGGACATCTGACTGGTAGCCTGGAGATGTGGGTCTGAGCCCCTCTCTAGCCACATTCCACTGTCTGTGACTTGGGGGGAAGGAACCTTGCTAAGAGAACGAATGCACATGAATAATAAGACATGTGGGGGAGCTTCTGACAAGACCGTCCCTGTGCACAAGCTCTGATCATCACAAGCGTGTGAGATAGGTGTGAGCATCAACCACTCTGACCCTCAGTTTCTTCTCCTGGGAATAGGTCCAAGCGATGGGCATTAAGGGTAAATAAAGATGTTTCCTCTCGCCCAGGTCTTCTGACTCCATCCGGATGCAGGGGGCTGGGGTTTCAGATTCTCTCTCATTCCTGGCTTTCTGTGTACACTGGGGAAGCTGAGAGGGACATTTTGCCTCAGTCATTCTCACCTCCCTCTCTAAGGCACCCAGGAAAGGGAAGAAAGGTGAGTGGCCAGAGTTGGCCTGGAAGCAGCTTCAGGAAACCATTCCTGAGGGTCACTGCCAGTGTAGACACCAAGGGGGTGGTGGATCAGCCCAGAAGCATCATGCATTACAGCCATGTGAGCCTGGAAGCAGCTTCAGGAAACCATTCCTGAGGGTCACTGCCAGTGTAGACACCAAGGGGGGTGGTGGATCAGCCCAGAAGCATCATGCATTACAGCCATGTGAGCCCAGGCACACACAGCCAGCCATGGCTTCAGTGACAACATTATGCAAACTGCAGCTGCCAGCCGGGCCAAGAGCTTTCAGCAAAGATATTTATCTTCCTGGCAGACAAATAAGTTTTATGTTTTGGGATTTTTTTTTTAAGGAAAGAAATCCCACCCAGCCTCAACAAAAATAAACATCCTTGTTATTCAACCTCCTGGAGGCCAGACTGGGGGAGGAAGCCCGTGCCCCCTCCTGCCCTATCCCAGTTCCCCAGGACCCATCCCATAACCCCGTGGATCCTTACAGTATGGGGACTAGGGAAAGGGAGCTCCATATTCTGGAAACTGAGGGTTGGTAGGGACCAGACCAAACTCCTAGTTTTAACTGGGGGGAAACTGAGGCCAGAGAGAGGTGAGAATGTGCCCTAATTATCAACAAAGGGCAGCCTCTCAGCTCCCGGGCCTGTTTGTCGTGCGGGCAGAAGGACCAGCCCCTGAGGATGAGAGAGCGGGCATGCCGCCCTGAGAGCAGCCGTCAGCATGCAGCTGCTTCTCCATCCAGGCTTCCATGGTGAGAAGAAAGAATCCAGTTCTGCCCTCCTCCAGCCGTCTACTGAGACATAGTGAGTGGGGCGAATTGGGGAGCTGGCACAGTGTGTGCAAAGACCACCCCCCCAAGCTCTGGGGTCTGCTCTTGGTCCCAGCTCCTCCATTCTGCCGAGACCCCAGACAACTCGCTGCACTCCTGGGAGTCCCATCTGTAAATGGGACAGGCAGGCCCCTCTGGAGGGGGAGAGCAAGTGGGATGGCTGTTGCCGCCTCAGCCCAGTGGAGGATCCCACCCCCTTGACCACCAGTGGGGCCTCCCCGTAAGGATCTGGAGTGGGGGAGCAGAAGAGGAGGGGCACGTCTATGTTGGAGATGGAAGGAATTCTGGGAGGTGGATGCCTCTGGTTCCTGGAGGAAGGGGGAAGAAAGCCTCTAGCCTCAGTCTAGATTGTTGGTTCTCTTGCTTTAAATTCCAAGGCTGGGTCCTTAATTGACAACAAAGGAAAATTCCTCAACGTTCTGCGGCCCCACTCAGCTGGTCAGAATGACAAGCCAAGGCCCTCCCAGGTATGCAGTCCTCGGATCCCAGGCTTGGGCCATTGATTTCAACCTCCTCCTACACTGTGGCATCTCCACCAAGTGCTGTCCCCAGCTCACCACTCCCAGGACAGCTGGACCACTTGCCCTCACATCTAGCCCATGTCTGTCTTCTGTAGGGCTGGCTCGCTGATCCTGGTTCTAGACCTCCAGGGCCTTCCTTAGGACGGACTGTGGACACTGGGAGGCAGCTGCCTCGCTTTTCTGGCTCCCTTCCTCTTGACTAAATGGCTGCAGTGGCCCTGCCTTTATGAAGCCTGTCTGGGACAGGCGGGTGCCAGGGAGGGTAGTGTACTGGGCCCTGAGCAAAGCCAGCAGATTGCTCTCCAGCTAAATGATCCCCAGGGGCTGGGTATCAGTGTGGTGGTCCGAGGCTTGGGTGCTGGTCAGAATCCAGCTTGCCCTGCAGGGCCCTCCTCAGCAAGACCTCTGCCGAAGTCCCACGACTCAGGCAGGATTACTCCTGACCAAAGGAAACCACTGCTCTTCATCTCCCAGGCCCCCACCTCCAGCTGCCTGCCTGGCATGACCCTCCAAGATCCACTCGCACAACAGCTCCTCCAGGAAGCCCTCCCAGTCCTCTCTCCTCTGCTCAGCCACTCCTATTATTTTTTGCTGTCTTGTGTCTGATCAAGCCCTGAATGTCCAGCTCCTCCTGCAGAATGTTAGTTCCCCAAGGGTTGGGACCTCATGTCATTGTCCCTTCTCAGCCCAGGGCTTAGAACAGGATGTGGCAGGTGGCAGAGGTGCAGTAAGAGAGTGCTGAGGAACAAATGAACAATTTCTAACAAACGATGCTGAGCTCTCACTCTGTCTAGCTATCTCTGTGCACCTACTGTGTGCCAGTGCCCTACAAAGTGTTGTATACACAAAAAATGTTTGCTGAGCAAATGAATGAACCAACTCACGCTGCTAAAATGAAGATAAAGTTGGAGAAGAGACATTAAAAAGAGGCATGCAATCACGAATGCCTCCATTCAAGGTTGACAGCTCAGGTGGCAGGAGTAGATGAAAGCACTGAGGCAGAGACCAAGACACCTGGAGGGACGTCCTCGTGCAGAGAGCCAGAAGGAAACAGGAGGGTCAGTGAGGAAGAAGGAGATGCAAAGAGACAGATTCTTGGGAAAGGCTCTAGCATTTAAACCAACATCTGGGAAACTGGTCCAGGACCAGCAGGGACCATGCCCACATGCTGCCACACTGGAGTAGAGAAAAGGCCACTGGGAAACTCCAGCTTGGAGCAAGCCTGGGTCCAGGCCACCCGCCCTTGGTTCTGCCTGCTCCCCACCTGCCCTGGAGCAGATCCTGCATGCATTTGGCTCTATGCTGACACCCCTCCTGTAGTGGGGAGGGGAGCCCTGAAGGGGCTTGTCCCATGGCTGAGGCTGAGGGGCCCAGGACAGTGGAATCCCAATCTGCAGATTCCTCAGTTTTTTTTCTTTTCTTTTTTGTTTGTGCCGCCCGCACCGTGCTCAACCAGTGAGCGCACCGGCCATCCCCATATAGGATCCGAACCCGTAGCTGGAGCACCGCACGCTCCCAGCGCCGCACTCTCCCGAGTGAGCCACAGGGTCGGCCCAGATTCCTGAGTTTTGATCTGGAAATAAACTGCAGACTAATCAGCAATGTCCACACCTAAAACATCAGGAGCAGCACCTGCCCCGTACAAGGTACGCACTAAGCGGTGGCCACTGTGTTATCATGCGCTTGGCAGATGATCCGAGGTCACTGTTACATATTTCCAGGACAGCTTCTGGTGCAGTGGGAGGCATGTGCTTCCAGGTTATGGTCTTAATCAGGAGCTGTGGAAGGCCCTCCGACCTCTGCCTGAACTCCTCCAGGGAGGAGCCCCATTCTGGGAGCTGCCTGCTCTAGTGCCGGGCAGCCCAGACTGCCGGATTTCAGCTGGAGAAATGCCAGAAATGGAAAACCTTTC